ATTTCCTTCATCACTCAGTTACTTTGAAGTGAAACAAACATCCAAATATGTGAGAATTTCCCAGCAAGCTCTCTTTTGGTCAAAGGAAGGCCCTCTCATAGTATAATCCTTAGCATGTTGTGTTGCTAACTGATAAGTCAACAGTTTGATACGCCAGTGGCTGCAAGAGAGAAACATGGGAAGACTCCTCTCCCAGTAAGATTTACAACCTCAGATACCAATTAGAGCGTCACTTTGAGTTAAACTGGATTGAGTAGCAGGGAGTGAATGAGTGGGGTGGTCAAAACATCTGATGTTAGTTCTTTGAAACTTATTCAGACTTGATTTATGATTCAGAATATATAATATTTTTAAGAGTGTGATATAATTCTTCAGTTATTGAATCCAGTCTTCTACCTGTATCCATTTGGCTATGTTTACTAATTGTTTTATTCAAAACTGTAGCTCTACTCTTTAACTGCTTATTCTATTAGTTACCATAAAAGCTATATTAAAACTTGCATTATAGCTGAATTTTTCTAAATATTCTTTTTATTCTTGCTGACTTTTATGTTATATATTTGTGACTTGTACATTATATATTTCTGCTGGGTTGTTAGGCACATTCACATTTGGAATAATTACTTCCTTTTGGTGACTTGAAAATGCTTTCTTCCATGCTTTGAAAATACCTCTTAATTATCTTCTGGCTTGTGTTTATTCTGTTGCAAAGTCAGCTGTCAGTCTTGTTCTTATTAATAAAGTTTTATTGGAACAGACTCATGCCAATTTGCTTATGTATTGTCTATCGTTACTTTCATAAATCATCATCAGAATGCAAAAGTTATGTTGGAGACTATATGGTTTGCAAACTTGTAAAGTTTACTCTATAGCTCTTCAAATATTCTTGCATGTTCCCTGGTTGAATTAACTGTTAAGTTCATCCACTGAGATATTTACTTCAATTAATATACTTTTTCTTTTTAGAATTCCCATGTTGGTTTTATCTTTAAAATTAGAGTATTATACTTCAGTTTCCTAAACAATACAGTCCTAAGTCTAAAAAAATTATGCCAACCCCTTACTGGACCATGAAAGGTCCCTTACAGGATATGGGAGTGGTGTAATTTAAGTTTCTGTCAGTTAATGTCATTATCTGGGTTTACTATAATTTTGTTTATAATGTCTGGGGTTGGGAATCCCCTTGTGCTGAATATTGTAGACCTAATGTGAGGTGTTTGATTAAGTTATGCTTCAAGGCCTGCTAGATTAGGATTAGATCACCTTCATCCAACCCAGGATTTATGTCCTTTGAACCTGTTGTTGTTGTTGTTATTGATTGCCATAGAGTTGAGCATGACAACAAAAGGCCTCAAGCCTTTCTATAACTATCATAATTTATCAAAGTTCATAGAATTTCCAGGGGCATGTTGTTTAGGAAGTGGATGCCACTCCTGCTTCCAAACCTTTCTTAAACTGGGAGCTTCACCAAACACTGTCCACTATGGATAACCATTATGACATTTGATACCCCAATGATAAAAGGTTCAGCATCAGGGTAACCCCAGGTTACTGCAGTACAGTATATTGATAGAATAGTACTGTACCACTTATAAGAATTTTCCTCCAAAATATAACAACCAACTTTTAAATACAAAGTCCCTCTCCTAGGTCTTGTTGACTCCAAACAAGAGGCTTAAATTGAAAAAGAAAAAAAAAAACAACAAACCAACCAATATACCAATATAGTATGGTGTTTTTGTTATGTGCCATTAAGTCACCTGTGATGTATAACAACCCTATGTATAGCAGCTCTGAGCACTTGCCTGTCCTAAGCCAGTCTCACTAATTCTGACACACAAACCCCCATTTCCCCAGATACTGTTTCAATCCATCCCATCCAGGGTCTTCCCCTCCTGCACTGAACCTCCATTCTTTCAAGCATGATGTCCTTCTCCAAGGACCAGTCTCTCCTGGCCACGTGCCCAAGGTATGTGACACAGAGCTTCAAAATCCTAGCCTCAAATGAGAGACTTGGTTTCACCCTCTCCAAGACATAACAATTTATTTTCTTGGCACCTAGGCTTCGTAATCTTGGAACTTATCTATTTCCTGCTGGTCCATTTCCTTATTTCTAGGGTAGATCCTTCTGGAATCTCAGCTGAGATTCTGATTTTTGCCTTAAGAGACTTTGAACTCATTTTTGTCCCTCTACCCTTTGAGTCAGGTGACAGATGTACTTACTTCCCCCCCTCCCAGGCACCATTTGCAGTTTGGTGCTGCCCACGAGCAAAAACTCTGACCCACTGCTGCTGAGTCTGTTCCGATTTCTGGTGGCCCTCCCTCAGGTCTCAGTCTTTATGAGATGAGACTGCCTTTCTTTCTCACTCAGAGCAACTGGCTTTTGCAGTGTCAACCTCTCCATTAGCAGCACAACATATAACGTACCATTGGGGCGCCATAAGCACATCTTCCTGGATTTTCTTTATGTGTGGGGTAGTGGCCTTAGAAATACACTCGAGCACCATACTTCCCTAATGCCTTCAAATAAATTTGTGTTGTTATTGCATACCACCAAGTTAGAGCCACGCCCTAGCTGACCCTCCATCTGTTTTCATAGGCAGTTAAT